CCAGGGACCGTGTTTACCAGGACCAAACTATTTGAAAAAGTCTCCTCCTCTCCAAATACATTAACCTGCCGATTAAAAGTGTGAAAACACTGAAAACAGCAGTTTTAAATTACAATATGTGATTTTTCTAGGAACAGCTTGACTGACTCAACTTGTCCCGAGAGGGCTGTGAGCCGATCTTCCACTAACGCTTTACTTTGTTTCTCTGATAATAAGCTAAGATCAGGACATCCAAAAAGTAAAATCCACCATCAAGATAAAATACAGTTTTATGTGACCATGATCCAAAAAGTGAATCGTAATACATTTGTTTCAAAACCGGATTAAATGTAGTAGCAGCAGGCAAACTCAACTAAAACGCGAAAAAGCGACTTTATTAAAACCCACCACGACTTAATTGAAATTGTAGTGAGACCTCAAACCACCTAGAGCTGCGCTTCCTGTCTTTTGATGGTAAAATCAATCAAGTGAAAAAATCAGCAGACAGTCTTTGTGTTTCCTTATCCATGAAATGACCATGAAGTTACAGTATATTAAATGGCTAATCAGATGGATACCGTACACCAATAATACTGAAGCTGTCTGTTCAATGGTCACTGGGAAACAGCTGAGAGCAACAGCGTGTCCCTAGATTACTCTTAGGAATGAAAGACTACATTATTTCTCAATCTCTAAAGGTTCCTGGGAAACGTGTTATTGAAATGTGCAGTTACGTCTGGGGACTCTTTTAGAGACTCTTCAATAACTATAATTGCATATTTGTTTCTCCATTTTTACAAGCAGCTATGAAATACAAGATTAATGCTGCTTATCATTCTCGAAAAACTCAAAACTCAGTCCCAACAGAGCTTAACAGTATGATGCATAGCTTTGACATGCTGCATTGTTAAACATCTTAAACCACTGGAATGTAAGATCCGTAAAATAAATCTTATTCTTAATACAATATATGTGTATGAAGGGATTTACTACTACATCAAACTACACTTTAATTACACTCTAACAGATTGAGATTGAATGAACATCCGTTTGACCTGATCCGTCTCTGTTTCCGTCAGGTTTACAAATCAACAAATCCAGATGGATCTCCAGGTCGAGGACAGAAGATCCACATGCAGCTGTGGGACACTGCGGGACAGGAGAGGTACGTGAAGTTATTCTACTTGCACTTTACATTTATTTTTCACTATTTATTATATTGTCATCAAGTGGTTCCTCTTTGTTGTCAGGTTTCGGAGCTTGACGACGGCGTTCTTTAGAGATGCAATGGGTTTCCTCCTCCTGTTTGACCTCACAAATGAACAAAGTTTCCTCAACGTCAGAAACTGGATGAGTAAGTCCTTTGATATTCCACTCTGAGCTGTACACTTCGTTTTTTGTCTGTTTTTAGAAGGTTTTAAGATGTAAGAACTAAGAACGCAGTCTACATTTTCATTAAATATTTTAAAAACAAGTGAGGTGAATGGAACAGATGCTATTTAACATAGATGAGTTGCAGTAAGAAATGAGAAAAGGTCAAAAGTAATAATGTCCACTCTGAGAGGTTTCTTATGTAACAATCGGGGAGCAGACGTTCCATATAACCTGTTGTGCTTTGAAATGTGGATGCGTCATTACCGATAGGTGGACTGAAATGTTGCATAATTCAAATTAAGACACAATTTAGTGAACTGGAATGATGGCGAGTTACTCTTTATGTGTATAGAATTTACACTAGGATGTTAGGCCTTTTATATTGTGTGATTTAACATGTATTCTTCCAGTATTTATATATTCTAAAGTATTTTCTGTGCACAGTATACTCTCACCTCAACTACTGCTTCGACACTGCTCAACTTTCTTGTGTCTTCTTGAATATAATTCTAAAGTATGGCTTTATATCTGTCTCAGAAGCAAACATATTTATAAACGCGGGACTAAATACATAATAAATTGCTCAATGTGTGTTTTCAGGTCAGTTACAGATCCACGCATACTGCGAAAATCCAGACATTGTTTTGTGTGGCAACAAATGTGACTTGTCGGATCAGAGAGCAGTCCGTGAGGAAGAGGCCCGTGAGCTGGCGGAGAAGTACGGGTACGTCTCCGCTTTGATCCATCTGTACATGAACCTCTCCCTTTAGATGTTTGTCAAGAAGGCAGTGGCTGCATTGTTTGCCAGAGTCTGTCCAGGAGAATGTCAGGCTATATTGGTCCTCTTGGAAAAGCAAATATTTGTACACATGTGTAAAATATCCTGCTCTGAAACTATAAGACACACCTCTACTAAAAACACACAAAGTGCACCGTGAGAAATGCTGTGAATGCCTTCAAGAGAGGAGAAACCTCGGAATTCTATATAACATTCGAAGTAGGCGATGTTTACAGACAGACTAATGCTCTTTTATATGGGACTGGAAATGTAACCTCGCATAAGCCCCGCCTTATCCCTATTTTTCCCATTGTGACTAGCGGCAGTAGTCTGTGATCCCGTATTTATTATGTCCAATATTTTTTTCCATGCAGAATCCCTTACTTTGAGACAAGTGCATCAAACGGGCTTAACGTGAACATGGCCGTGGACGTCCTGCTGGATCTCATCATGAAGAGAATGGAACGATGTGTTGACAAGTCCTGGATCCCTGATGGGACCGTCAGAGCTAACGGACCCAGCAACCCAGACCTCTCAGAGGCCTCTGATAAGAGCAAATGTGCATGTTAGACTCAATTATGAACGTTACATGTCTGTGTCCATAATACTGTTGAAAACATAGGAAGATATCCAAGTTGAAGTATACATGCATATTGTAAAATATTTAAGGTGAAACAATATTTATCTTTATTGCCCCACAGAGTAGTGCTTTGCTATATTTAAAGTACAGAAGTGTATTAGGTCCAGGCATGAGAGCAAATACATTAGAGGAAGATATTGACTTGTTGTTTTTAGGGAAAATGTTGTTAATTCAATTGAAATGTCAGGAAAAAGTTCAAAAGTTAGTCATGTGTATCCTACATTTTAACTTTATTCTCAACATTTTGCCTTTATTCATGAAATGCGAAATAGATTAAATGAAATATCTTATTCCCAAGCCTGACCATAATACGCCTCCATAGAAAAGTGCTTTTTGAATGTGGGCGTTTAATTAAAATTCATTTAACATGGTCTTTTCAAAAAATATATATTAATATTGGAGCGTGGGATATTTCTAATGATGTCCAGCTGGAAATGTCATCATTTGGATGCTGATGGTTTTTTCAGGTATAAACTTTGTGCTTCAAGCTGCATCAAAGTGAGCTGCCCTGCCAAATGTGCCATAAGAATACTTCTAACACTCTTCACTTGCTGTAAGATAAGCGTAGATTCACACTGCGATTAAGAAAGGAGTCACTTTGTACAGTCAGATGAATGTTGACTGATACCTGCAGTCACGGTGTATTGGGATTTCCTATGGATATACTTTTAGGAAGCTTATTGATGTTGTGCTTAGTGTCCTTCTGAAGAATGCAAGATTGCCCTGCAACAGCAAGTAAGCACGTTGCTCACATTGTCCGACTGAAATTAACTAGAAGGACAATTAACACTTGTTTATTTTTTCCTAAATCGACGTTTGTGCTTGTTTTTTCTGAAAACCTTGATAATAGAATACAGTTTGTCTTCGTCATCAACACTTCATTATAATCAGCAACTGGTTCTGCCAATGATTGCAAAAATTAAGTCTCAGTATAAATATAAAATTGTGGAAAAAGTAAAACAAATAATCTAATAGTTTAATATATTTGAAAGTCAGACATTTCAATGAAAAATGTTGCTGTAGCTTTTGTGAACATGCAAGTAACATGCAAAACATTATTTTTCAATATTCACCTGTAAGGATTTCTGTAGTTTTAGAGTATTCAGGATTTTGCTCAGCCGAGATCCTACATACTGCTATGCCAAGGCCCCGGATGATAACATGTGGATAACAAGAATATATCACCTGAAAACAAAGACCACCTTTACTGGTGTCAGGATTCTCCTAGCTAGCAGATGCTATGTTTTTAAAGAGCGGGACAACTGTTTAGGCAGCCATCTACTAATTACACATATGCGGCATGCATCAGGATTATTATGTATTCAAGTTCTGATTGCAATGAAAAGAGCTGCTACATACCATCTTACCCTCAGTATATTTTTGGATGTAGGCCTACTGAGGGTTAAATAATTAGAGAAATAAAAGAGAGATCTTTAAAGAACCTGCTTAGCATTGGTTTTGTATTGGCAAGTTTGATAAGAATAGCAATAAGATGGGTTCCTCATTTCAGTTTACTTATATGGTGTTGATTTTTAAATCCTTATACTTACCCCTTCAGGTCCTTTAAAGTTTCATAGATTTATAATACGACTGATATTTAATTAAGAGTATCTAAACTTAGTAAAACACTGAGATGGTATTGTGACATGTATTTTTTAGTTTTACACACACATGGACATTATTTGTATTAATTGTAAAGGCTAAAAGTGATGTTTTAGTTAAGACACAAACAGCTCAAGTTCAATTTGATTATAAAATGAGTATGACTATGCTGATTAATTTCATGTTTTAAAGTGTGCCATACTTATTCATATGCAAAATGTATATCATGTGTGAAATAAACTGTTTTATTTATGTATTTCTTGAAGCAGTATCGAATTTTATATAATCAATCTAGAAGAGGTTGAATAAAAATGTAATTTCACTATGAAGTATTGCTTTATGTGTTTAGAAACTGAGATTATGACCATCCTTGCCAAAATTACAGAGTGTGTGGTATGTGTTTTTAATTCAGTCAGTGTCTAATATAAATCCTTATTCCACTACTGGCTTTAATGTTTTAACGATTGACGACCTTTTTTGTCCAATCTGCATTCATAATACATCCTAAAACGTGTTTTTAATGGGAGCTGCATGGTTAAAATTGCCCCTTTATAAATATAAACCATAGATATAAACAGATATAAACGTGTTAATTTAGATCCAACCCAAAAGGGGGAGCACTTTCCCCACAGCCCCTACCACAGGAGTGTTTATCCGGTGAAGAAGAAGCTGCAGAACCAAACACAACACCAGCCTGAGTTGGAAAGGTATCAGACACTTTTCATTATTTTGACAACTTTAAAACTCAATGCTGAAATACGGTTTTACTCAGAGGTACATTTCAATTAAAACCAAGGCTCAAATTCAGCAACGGTGATACTTCCGCTGAAAATCCACCAGTTTCGTATCTGTTTTAGCTAGCTAACGTTAAGCTCTCTTGACATTGCATTTCTTTTTTCAACCCTGGCGTTAAAATAAAATAACGTATAAAACACACACGAGCTTTAGCTCGAAGCTGTCACTCTCTGCTAATGCTAATGTTAGCTAGCTAAGGATTAAGGTTAGCTGACGTTTTTTTGTTCTGGATTATTTTTAAGGAACTGACACGTGCAGTATTACCTTTATTTGTACCCAACATATTTTCTCTTTTCCCATAATTGATATTAAAAAGTAGCATCACTATAATCTTGTTAAATTACATACGTTTATGGAGGGACGAATCTTGCTGTTGCTATGGTAAAACCATAGGTAAAACCTATATACACAGCCTATGTGTAAAACCATGGGTAAAACATAATCGGAAGATTCGGAACGGTTATCTCTATGACAACGGACACCATTTATTTAACTAGTGAATAAATCCCAACATAGACTCTTTACACTTTGAGCTAAACAATACTAAACAATAACTTTTCAAAAAAGGATTAGTTTCTTGGATGTGACAATTCCATTCACATAATGAGTGTTCTTATTATTGATTTAACCAACTATTGTATTGCAAAGTATCATGCACTTTGCAATAACATCAACACTTGATTAGAATAGAAAATTGTATTGATCCCCAATACTAGATGTATAATAATATGTTTGTATGTAACATAATGTGTGTTTTACTTACAGAATGCCTTTCCACTTCTGCCCTCAGTGTGGGACAAAGTTGCAGCCGGGTTTCAGATTTTGTCCTTCATGTGGGGATAAGATTCCTTGTATTGTTGATGAATCTGGACCTGTGAGCCCGGTGACATCTTTAAGTCTCTCTCCAGCCAAGAAGGATGAAGCAGCAGTTAAATCATTCCCTGTTTCAGTAGCAAGTGGCCAGCCCACAGGAAGTACAGGTAAACATCTTGACAGAGTGTTATGTAGAGTAAAACATAGATTTTTTAGACTTTGTGTGGTTTTTATCTTTGGGAATGTTAATCCTGTTTTTCTTTGCCACATGGATGTAACACCTCAGCTCTAGTTACGACTCGTCCTGCACTGCGGAAGCCACGAAACTCCCTTCGTCTGGAGAAGGAAGTTACATTTAATATTAGCAATGCCACGCCACCTGTGGTGCCCTCCACTGCTATCAAAGGTGATTTATAATGGTTTGGAAGAAGTTACCGATTGAGAAAATTTACTTTTTTAATTTAATTAGCTGTAGCATGAACCATCAGTCTGACATATAGCTTTAAGCTCCAGGCAGCACATACCAGTGGCCAGGTGGAAAATGAAAATAATAATTTGAAATATTGAATGCATTTTTCTTGGACAACATGCTATGATTTGTCTCAACAGATAGTGGGGATGGATTGCTCGGAACTCCACCCAAGCAGCAGTCTCCTCGACCTGGTGAGCTGAAGCACATTCCTCGTGGAAAATCTATTTCCTGTCTTGATGTGTCTTTCTCATTATTTTGATTGCGGCTGATTCTATCTGCAGGGAGGGGAAAGGCGAGGCGCTCCAGCCCTGCTGAGCAGGCAGAAGAGGGAAAGAGTCCGAATAGTAAAACAAGCAGGAGAGCGGAGGATTTATCAGTACATGGCCCCCTTGTGGCTGTCTCCTCCCCTGTTTCCTCACCAAAGTCTCAGTTAAAAGGTGAGAACAAATTATTATTGTATTTCATTATGGATTAAGCTGCTGACTTGTTTCTAATCAAGAAAACGATATTCAGTTGTATATGATATATAACAGAGAATCAGGAAATCTTTCTATCAATCATTTACTACAGTAAGAACAACTACATGATGCAGTTCTCAGGGGATGGACCTGCATTTTAGATTCACAAAATATCAGTCGGTTAAATGGAGACACGGGGTTAAATCTTATCAGGTCACTTGTCAGATACACTTTGCATTATATAAGCTCAATGTAAATGGGACCATTTCTGAAGAGATTCAATGTGAAGGGATTTGAAGTGGAGGTATAGTTTTAACTTTGACGTCAGTAAACTAATTCTGGTCATCTCTCTTTATCCTTATGTTTTCAATTTCTTATGTTTTCTATGCATCCTTTTTTATGTCAGCGTCTCACATACTTTGAAACATACGACGTAATTGGCGGGTTGTTTCTTTTTGCATTTATCGCGATAGGAAAAAGCAAATCTAAGAAGGCAAAGCATGCGCCTGCTGTGGAGCCGCTGCAGGAAGGCGAAGAGGTGACGGACACTGCGGGAAAGAAGTGGAAGCTGGTGAAACTGCTGAGTCAGAGCACCACAGAGCTGCAGTACGAAGGTGAGACTGGCAGTGGAAATACTGGTTTATATTCAAATTACATTTCAGGTAAAAGATAAGGATTATTATTATACAGAAGTATTTATTCAAATTTTGAACAAACTATTCCGACTTGTTTTTCAGTCTTTCATTTACAATATAGCTGTTTAACGGAAACTATATTTTAAATAGATATGCTAGATATATATAAAATGGTTAAATGATGTAGTTTTAGTGTTACCTCTTATGAGACTCTTCTTTTTGTTTCCATTTCAAAAAGTATCCTGGGTCCAGGTAACTTGAATAAAGCCTTACAAAGAGAGGGCTAGTTTCGTAGATAGTTTGGCAGTCCTTCAACAGGATAACACAATTACAAATCTAAATGTAAAGTAAAAAGATCCTGTATTGGCACAAAATAAATATAATTTTTTGGTTTGTTTTTTTCAGTTTTGCAAATAGATTCACGATCCAATTCCAAGGAATCAAATCACATCCTCAAGCTGGTAAGTGCCGCCTGAACAGACGTGGTACATTTGAAGGTTTTCTAAATACTCATATGTGCGACTGCAGTGCCATAAAGGAAGAAACAATCTCTCCCTCACTTGTGTATTTGTCAGGGAATGTATTTTTCTTATTTGTTATGTATTTCCCGTAAACTTCCTTGATAACATCATCACGTTTATCTTTCTTTAGGGAGCTAAAGATGGCAGAATCTTCACTGAGCAGAACTTTCTGCAAAGAGCTGCTAAACCTGTGTCAGGTGAGGATTTATTTCTTTCTTTTATTTACAAAAACAATGTTAATGTTGCCTATAAAAGAAGTGGTGATTTTCTATGGATATGAAGGGCCAGGGTAGTCCTACCATGGTTCTTATTTAACTGCATCACCTCCCGTCTGGACTATTGCAACAGCCTCCTGGTTCACCTGCAAAAATCCTCAACAAACTTCAATACATCCAGAACTCCGCCGCCCGTCTACTCACCCACACCCGAATCCGTGAACACATTACACCCGTCCTCATCAAGCTCCACTGGCTCCCCATCCCCCAGAGAATTCAGTACAAGATCCTCCTGATGACGTACAAAGCCCTCCATAACCTGGCCCCATCCTACCTAACTGACCTCCTCCATAGACACACTCCCACTCGCTCCCTCCCTCCGCTCTGCTACTGCCAACCTCCTGTCCCCCCCCACCCGGACCAACCTCAAGTCCTGGGGCGGCAGAGCCTTCTCCGTTGCTGCACCCATCCTCTGGAACTCACTACCTCAATCCATCAGAGATTCTTCCTCCCTCACAGCATTCAAAACATCACTCAAAACCCATCTGTTCAACACTGCATTCAACCACTGCCCCCCCCCCTCTATTTTCTGTTTTATTTATCTCTTTTTGTATTTTTTTGTTTTGTTTTTGTTTTTTCATTCTCTGCCAAAGCGTCTTTGAGTTTCCGGAAAAGCGCTATACAAGTCTCATGTATTATTATTATTATTATTATTATTAGTATTATCTAATGATCATTGCGAGAGGAAACGTTTTATTTTAAATGAATAGCAGCATTTATCACAGTTGATGAGATAGATGAGATGTTGAAAGTCAGAAGGAGAACCACTAACAATAAGTCAGTGGTAACGGTTCTGCCAGTTTGTCATGTGATGTAGTTTCACAATGTCACTTAAAAATATGTTTCCTTCATTTCCGAATCCATTTAGAAGAAAGCAGAAGTTGAAAAGAGATTTATTTTTAACGGGAGCATCTTGAATCCTGCTTCATGTGTAAACGATACGATACGATAATACGATACGATAATACTTTATTGGTCAGATCAAGTCTGAAATTTGACTTGCGTCACAGCAGCTCCATGTCCAACATCAACAGACAAAGTATCCAGACACAATACATGAAACACAAACAACAAACATTTAACATAACAGCACAATCAGTGAGAGAGAACATGCTCAAAGAGCCTTCAGCGTGCATTTGATCTGGGATCAGCTCTGTATTTACTGTGAGGATTGACTGATGCACAAAGGAGTGCTTCAGTCTGACTTTATTGAATGGTGGGACCCTGTATCTCCGATTAGATGGTAGCAGTTCATATTCAGTGTTCAGAACATGGTTTGGGTCAGAGATGATTTTGTTGGACAGCCTCACTAGGTTGTTATGATAGGCTGAGTCATAGAGTCTCTGACAGGGTTGACCAACAATCTTTGAGCAGATTTTTAACAGGTGGAGCGGTTTTGATTTTAAAGCTGCTGACAAACATTTGTACCAGGTAGTATTGCAGTACTGCAGAATAGATAAGATCACAGATGTAAAGAACATCAGAAGAATTTCTCTGCTCGCCCCAAAAGACCTAAGACGGCGGAGAAAATAAATTCTTTGTTTTGTCCTTTTGCACAGATTTCAATGTGATCCTTCCATGACAGCAGATGGTCAATCATTACACCCAAGTATTTGTATGAAACTCCCTGCTTGATTTCATCTGTATGGATGACAATGGGGACTCTATGAGAGTCAGATGGTGAGCCAAAAATGATTTCCTCAGTTTTCTTGGTGTTGATCTCAAGAGCATTGTTATCTGTCCACTCCACCACCTGATTTACAGCCTGTTGGTGCAGCTCAGGGTCGTCTGTGTTACTGAGCAGAGATATTATTGCAGTGTCATCAGAGTACTTAATGATGACTTGATTTGGTGTGTTGGTACGACAATCATCAGTGTAGAGAGTAAAGAGCACAGCTGAACTCACGCAGCCCTGGGGGGCCCCTACATTGGTTGTGATGGCAGATGATAGGGTTTTGTTAACCTTCACAAGTTGCTCTCTACTAGTGAGGAAAGCAGCATACCAGTAAATCAGGTATGGATTTACTTCCATTTTTGACACCAAGATGTCTGCTTGTATTGTGTTGAATGCTGATGAGAATACCACATATCAATCATGTCAAAGCAAAACTGACTAAGACTATAGCAACATTGGGGGAAGTCAAGACAGATTCTGGGCCACTAATACACTCCTATTGCCATATCGGAGTAACTGTGTTGAGATTTTGGGAAATACTTACAAAACCAACCTCCAGCCATTATGCATATTACCAAAAAGAGCAATAAGAATGATCAACAATGTTGGATATCTTGAACACATCAATTCATTATTCTTAAAGTCAGATACACTGAAGTTCAGGCATCTGGTTGAATTTGAACTTGCACAAATCATGTACAAAGCAAGACTTAATCTACTCCCAGGTAATATACAGAACATGTTTATGGAAAGACAGGGGAGGGATCATTTGAGAGGAGAACTTGCATACGGTGATTTTGTGGAATGGTTTGGAGCAGGAGTTAAAACAAAGCATTAAATAAATCAGTTTAAAACAATCTACAAAAATACTTTCTTGGAAAGATATAGGGACAAGTGATCTAAGCTGAGAAATAATTATAAATGTATGTAAATATTATATACATTTTTAATATATATATATAAAATATTAAAGCAGTTATTTACAACGGCAGAAATTATTTTACGGACTATCAGCAGTTTAGTAAATAGTGGGAATTTATACGCATTTGCTTCCTTCTGCTCATTTTCAGACACTATTATTATTATGAAATATATTTGTGTGAAATATATAAATATTGTTTGAAGATTCATGAAAAAATAAAAAACCAATATGGTATTCGGTTGAACATTTTTTTTTGTATCTGTTTGTATTAAAGATGGAAATGAAAATAATAAAAATGAACAAAGTCATGAATCACACATGCTAATTAAAACCAATGGTCCCTCTGCAGTGGACAGGTGGATCAAACAGAACAAGATGGACTTCCTGGGGATTCCCTCCTGTGCCGGCTTTGGTCCTCATGCAGAGTCCTACAGGTGTGAATATTTACACATGAATTACAAAAAGTTTACCATTAACTTAAGGTCTATTGTAAGTTGTTCTTTATGTCCTTTATTATTCCATAGGTTTCTGATTTTCCCCAACATGGGCCAGTCTCTCCACTCTGTCATGGAGGAAGAAGACGAGCTGCTGTCGGAGAAAGCTGTCCTTCAGCTCGCCTGCAGAATAGTGAGTGTCAACTTTTAACTTGACTTTTAATCAAATACCTAAAGTTATCAGGTCACTTCGTGCCCTAATTCTCTTTACATGGACGCCTCACACCTATTACATTAATATCCTTTGGGAACATTAAACTGCTTTTACAGTCGGTTCACATCACAAACTGTAACGACATCATTTATACATCTGTTTTGATTTACTCCATGTGTTTGTAACCTGTCTTGTATCTTGTTCCGTTTCTGTTTTTTTCTCTTGTTGAAGTCTCTCTCAACGTACCCTGTCATATTCTATCTCCTATCTAAATCATGATCCAGATCTTGAATAAGAACTGTCTTTCTCCCTTGCTTGATAAACGGTAACATTGGTTTCCCCTTGTAGTTAGATGTGCTGCAGTATATCCATTCAAATGAGTACGTTCACGCTGATATAAACGCAGAAAACATTTACATCAAACCAGGACAGAAATCACAGGTGAGGACATTTCATTACTCCAACTGTACTCTGTTAGTGTCCATGATTGAAATGCCTTTTACATTACTCTTTACTTGTGTGGGTGTGGTTAGGTTTACCTGGTAGGGTACTGCCATGCCTTCAGATACTGTCCTGGTGATCAACATGTGGAGTACCGTGAGGACAGCCGGACGCCACATGAGGGCAGCGTGGAGTTCATCAGCCTGGACGCTCATAAAGGAGCAGGTCAGTCCCTCCTCTGGACTCCTTTCACCAGCCAATCAGACGCCGTTTCACTCCACAAGCTACTGTACACTCAACACTCAGATGAATTTAAATGAGCACCAGCTGCCCTCCTCCCACAGTCCATCTGTCTGCACACACAGGCGTCACATGATAACACTGATCTGATGTTTTTCTTTTGAATGATTGTGATTTTCTTTTCGTGTGACAGTTCTTTCAACCTTTGACATGTTTAATATGGAAACCACAATAACTAGGTGTCTCTAAATGGGAGGATTGTTTTTGTGGTGTTGATGTTTCAGGGTGAGTGTGAGGGAAAACAGATGTAGTCATCGCTGTGTGTGTGTGTGTGTGTGTGTTTCCTCTCAGCTCCGTCTCGACGCAGCGACCTGCAGTCTCTGGGTTACTGCATGCTGCACTGGCACACAGGGACGCTGCCATGGACTCAAATCACTCACCCAGACCAGGTGGCCACGCAGAAACAGAGGTGAGAGTTGTATTGTTAAAAAATAATAGGCAATTGTTTTGATCTATCCATCAGTTATCAATTGCATTTCTCATGCAATATTTGTATCTCCTGCTCTTTATTATGTCATATTTAGATTCATTACTTTGGGTTTTGGACTGGAAAAACAAGACATTTTAGGACATCAACTTGGACATTTGTGTACATATATCTGATCTTTTTTAGACCAAACAATAAACTTGCTAAAACAACCTTTGAATCTCCACAGAACTTCTGATTTGTATCAACATGCCTGCATAACACAAGCGTATAAGATGAAGTTAGTGGTCAAATATAAAGGAATAATCAAACTTTTCTCATTGTAGGTACATGAAGGATGTCCCTGCTCTGTTGAGTCACTGCTTTGAGAAGAATATCGTTTCCAGTGAGTTATAATGTTTGTTATACAACAGATAACCCGTTTGAGTCAATGTGCATTTTTACTGATATATTTCTGTGTGTGTCCCGTTGAAGGTGCATTTCAAGCGTACCTGACTAACGTGATGGCTCTGCAGTACACTGAGCAGCCGGACTACTCTGCACTGAAGGCCGGACTCAGCGCCGTGTTACTGCAGCTGGGGGGGGCAGCGGAGCAGCCGCTCAGCTTTTAGGTGAGGACGTTATCACTCTGCAACTTAGGTACAAGTATGTAGATTCTGGTCACAGGGTTCCTTCATTACTCTACATTTTAATCCTAAGCAATTTACAATTAGTCCAATAAAGCATGAAGATAAAAACTCAGAACAGTAAGAAACCTGCAGGTACATTTGCCTCAAATAAGCCAAACCATTAGTTCTTAGTTTCAAATGAGCTCAAAACCTTTAAGTACTACACGTCTTAGTGTGTGTGTGGGTTTAATGACCAATGTGCTGACTCAAAATGTTGGTTCGGACACTTAGTGCAGTTATTTAATATTTAAAAAATGTAAATAGTTAATTAGGATTATTTGAAGTGGGTTTTTAAGTGTTTTTTATCCACAATTAGCAGCTGGCACTCGGCACGCCTCCAAACAGACAGGTGTAGTAGCAAAATGATAAGCAAACACTGCTGTGGACAGGGGCATCAGCAACAGGTAATGTTAGCCACCTTAAAGAAATCAATATCAGTTTAAGAGTATGACATATTTAGAACGTTTTCATATTTTTAATATAGCATACATTCAGTTTGACGGTTGATTTGTTTAAGGTGGGTCAGTCTTTTAGCTTTCTAGAGTATGTTCTGCAGCTGCCCCTGTTCACATTGCCTTGCTCCCGGGATTCTAGGTTCTTATACAAATACATTAAATACACAAATAGTTCAGTTGTAAGAAATGAGGGACAAATGAGACCTGGTCCAGACGAGATGTAAACCTAAATATCAAAGTGTTTATAGTTTATTTTGAATGTGAGGTATTCTCTGTGATAATATTAACATATGTGTACTGTGTTTTTAATTTCAGAGTCATTGAAGAAAGAAGACCATTTGGAAGATTTTAAATATTTGTTTTATCATGTTGTGTTTTACTTCTGAATTATTGCACTGAAGCCGAGTCTTTTAGAGTTCCATGTGTGCACTCGTGTTAGGTGAATGGGTTTTGATGGGAATCTTCTTTTTGGGTGTGGTTTTTCATATTCATTGCACAGTCTTTTAAACAATGCAAGTTCAACGTTAATCTCCCTTAAATGTGAGAGCGATGCAAGTTCTTAATATTTGACGCACAGATTTGGGTTTTGTTGACATGTTGTGAGTTTACTTGTCACAGTGTTCCTCTTTTAGCAGATACCTTTAACAGTGGTTTGTCTTTGACATGAATTTACTTCTGCTAAACATTTCCTCAACATGAGCCAACAGACGTAGATCCACCCTTCCTTATATGTAGGCACAGTTAGTCTGCCTGTATAAAAGCAATATATTTCATTTAAAGAAGTGCCTTAGTGTCCTTTATCAAAGAGCACAAGACATCTTGAGTTTAAGGCTTGTTAACAAATAAAGTGTTTGAGTAAATGTTTGTTTTTTTACTTTTGTTGTTGTGATGTTTTCTGTACTAACCCAGACATAAACAGGCATTCAACACAACAGCAGACCTAGTCATTTTAAAGAAACCTTTATAAAGTTTAAACATTTCTGAACATAAACATTTTAACATTTCAAGACATATACAATTCTTTATATGAAACAGTAAATATCTCTTATTGTGCACACTCTTAAAGTAATTCAGAAAATAAACACTGTTATCTTTAGCCTGATCTCTCCTGTCGTGGCATTTTAAAACCTTACATCTCTGTCACTTGAGGCACTTTCTGAATGTCGAGGCTTTTGTAGAACAACGTAAAGCATGATGCTGAAGGACTATAGCGCCCCCATGAGGCGGCTTCTGTACACAGCTGCAGACCTGATGGCTGCCTGCAGTGGAGCCGGCGCACACACGCTTCTATACAGACATGCTGGCAGTGTGAGGCAGCTTCACATGCAGGTTTAAATATAGTTTACACTGCAGGTTGATTTCATGTTGGACCAGATGAGCTTTGAGCTGAAACTCAAAGTGTTTTTATCCAGTCCTTATATTACTTATCTTCCTGGGTTCAATGTAAATTCTGCTCTCGTGTACTTTTAAGTAGTTAGCTCTCGATGATACGTAAATTAAAAGATCCCGCTTTGTAAATGAAATTGCGTCCACAGCACAAAATGTAAATCTTTAGACATCACATGCTCACATAGTGGAAAGAGCTCTGGGCTTTACACTGATTTAACACTGAAAATCATAACCTTAAAAAGTAGTTTAACATCCACAAATACTGACAGTTTTGAATGCAACTCAGTAAGTGATTGATTGTTACTCTGTTGATTGAAACAACTCTATTAACTTGAACTTAAAGACCATTAAAAAAAAATATTAGATTACTTCAAAATATGCACTGTAATAAAGCCGAAAAACAAGGCCGCTTAAAGCTGTTCCTGAAATGTTTTGGACATTACATTTTCACATGAGAGGAACAGTTTATTAAAGTGTAAACTAAGTGGTATCCCGCTTTCACTCAGGCAACGTGATGAAGAACATGTTGAAGGGAAAGGACGTTTGAAGAGGGACTTCAAAACGCAGAAACCTGGAGGCTTATCGTTCTTGGTCAGAACAAGGCAAATATGTGCACAAACTCGGCCCGAGAGGACGAGCTTGTTTGTCTGAGCAGAAAGTGGAACATCCTCAAGGCCTCCGATCCGCGGCGTGACGGGGAGATGGCATGAGGAGATCAGAGTGGGAGAAATGGTTTAGCTGAGGCTCCTCCGTGTCCTTAGAAGACAGTAGTAGCCAATTGTTTGGGAGAGGAGGGACGCTCCTCCTGGCCATGTGACACGTGCTCTCCTGAAAGATCGAACACAGGAGGGAAATGGACACATCTCTCTCGCCTGCAGTGCTGTGGTCACATGACCAGCTGCAGCCTCTGTTTACAAACTCCTCTCACCGGGTAGATTTTCTCCCTTTTTCTCGCCGTCATCTTCCTTCTCGTCGGGCATTTCTATCTGACACAGATCCTGCACGTCCTCCACGCTCGATTCCTTTAAAAAAAAAAAATCATGTTTTTCTCTTTGAAGTTCGTCAGACATGTTTCACAGTGGTATCATTGTTGGAGCCGTTTTCCTCAGAGCTATCTATTAGTTACGCATTCTTCCACTTAATGAGATCATCAGGGATTCCTTTTTAATATAATAAACTCGTTCTTTATGCTGCTCAGAGTTTTGTAACCCCAGTGTCTCTCCTCTCTCTTGTGCCTGCAACGCAACCACTACACTTTATGCAAATGAATCCCAGTTGAAAACTCCTAAATAGAAATAATCATATGGGCAATGATGGCAACTTTTAGAGACTTTTGAAGTTAGTTATGATAAATTAATATATGAACATACTAAACACTTTAAAAAAAAAAGACATGAATCGGACAGTTTGATTACCTGTGATTCAGAGAAACGATCTTCATCTGAGTTCCTGAATCCTTCGGGAGCTTCCATCAGGATCTGCAGACCGTCAGCCTCCTCGTCATCGCTGCAGAGAGACAACAGGGACATACATGGTGAGTCTAAATTAAACACCATAACAGACACTGAGGGAACTTTTCAAACCCAAGATTCAGGATAGAAGGAAAATAGAATTTTTTTTTTTTGCCAAATACTTGACAGGCTCGAGCAGCAGACAATGATCACTAACACTGACCTTCCTCCAGAGTGAAATCTCTCTTCCTTTTCTTCTTCTTCCTCTTCCTCCATTTTGATTTGGTTCTCTTCAGGTTGCGCAGCATCCTCCTCCTTTTTCTCTTCTACTGCCTCTTTATTTCCTCCCTCCTTTCCCTCTTCCTCCTCATCTTCCTCGAGGTCAGAGCAGTTGAGAAAGTCAAAACTTTCGAGCGCCGTCTCGACTTCTAGATTGAAACTAGAAGAAACTGGAAAAGGAACCTACGGAGAAACCAAAGCAGTGTTTAAAGTTAAGGTATAAGGTGTTTTTTATTTAGTTATATGTTAAGTTTTTTGTTTTGTTTTGCGAAGCACTCTGTGTTACCCTTCGTGTACGACAACTGCTATACAAATAAAGTATGATTGATTGATTAAAAATCACCATCAACAGAATAAACTTCACAAACACAATGAAGTGAATGAAGCTCACCGTTGGTTTGGACTCCTGGACGGACTGACTGTGTTTCTCTGGTGCTTCGTCCTCTGCTGCTTCAGTGGTGCTGTCCTTTGTTTCTGCTTCAGTCTGTCCAGCCTGCACTGGCAAGTCCTCAGACTGTTTTACCTCCTCTGCTGAAATACACACATCTGGGACGCCACTTTCAGACAAATCCTGAGTGGACACAGCGTGTGCAGAGGACACGTCGGGGCAGGAGCAGCTCAGGTCTGCCGAGGTTTCAGAGAGGTCCGCTGACTGGAGAGACGCTCGATCGGCCGCGGTGCAGTCATCGCTGTGAGAGCAGGAAGTCTGCAGGTGGCCGTTTGGCACCGCGTCCGTCTGAGAGAAAACCTCCCCGGCTTCGGTCTCGTCCTCCTCCTGATTGGAGGTGAGCGACGGCGTTGAGGCGCTGGACTTGTGTGGCGTGAAGGACAGCTGAGAGGTGAGCGTGGTTTGCAGCATGTTGGAGGCCGTGAGCTTCTGAGCGTGGTGAGCGAGCGCCGGGCTGGACGAGTCGTCGGAGGACTCAGACGAGTTGGACCAGACGGTGCCGTTCTCCACTTCCCCCTGCCGCCTCAGCAGAGACTAGACAGGAAACACGGAGGATATTAACTAAAGGCCCAAAGGTATGTCGACATACTTCAGGATCACAGGTTTTAAGTGCATGTTGGTTATCAAATTACATCACGATAAATGTAATTGCGTTAGGGTTGCAATTAAAGATTATTTTCATTATTGACTCATCTGCAGATTATTTATGGATTAATGGTTGGTCCATAAAATATAAGAAAATTGTGAAAAATGTCTCAGAGTCCAAGGGGAAGTTTGTCAAAGCTTCACTATTCCAGCTTCCTAAATGTGAGGCTGTTATTGATTTCATGCCATTGCTTTTCCTATCTGTCTCTAGTCTATGAGTATGATATAAAGCAGAGAAAAGTAGAACATCTCTCATGAGAAAAACTTCCAATTTTGCTTTAAAATCACTCAATCGATTATCAAAAAGATGGTGTTTTGTTCAATCGATTAATTGACAAATCCTTTCAGATGTTAAATGCAGTGCATTTGATCAATGAAACAGACAAATTCCTTGATCCAGTTCTCAAACTGTTGATCAGAGACGCTAGTAATGGGCAAGGATAACAATACGAAGTGGAACTAAAGGGAAATATCAAGTGTCATGTGGGACAAAAAAGACGAGTGGGACATAAAACATGTTTTTGACAAAAAAAGGGAATTACAGACATAATTCATTGATTTGATTTATCAATTGAACACATCAAACATTTGCTGCTTGAATCTTAGATCTGGCTTCTTTCTCCCTCATACTATAAACTACAAATATAAAAATGTTTAGCTCCTGTACTTAATGCAATATGTGGGCACTGTTAATAAACAATTTGGGTAAAGCTGTGATTGTTAATATTTTAAACACTAAATCAAGATCATCAAAGTTTTCTTGAATTCCCCCCCTTAAAAATGTAATTAGTCACTCGATTAATTGACAAATGCCCTGATCATTTAGTAAGCGCTACAAATCTCAAAAATAATCATATACACAGAACACATGATCTGGTTTTGAATTAAATAATCAAAATCAACAACAATATAATCACGTTGCATCTGACAAAATGTCTGATTGTCTTTTTCAATTTTGATTTAAAAAATATCATTTTTTTCTAATGTATATCATCAATCGGTTTGGTCACTATGAACTAAACTACAACTACGTCCCAACACACCGACTGTACTGAGGTGAATCTGGGTGTAGTGCGGCTCAATTCACAACGTAAGGACGCCGTCCTGTCCGCCATGACTTCGTGAAGCGCCTCCACCAGCGAGCGGCTCGGCCTGGGCCTGCCCTGAGGCGCGCTCTTCAGCGAGGTGAGGAAGAGGAGGGACATATTGGAGCTCTACTCAACCACTATTAAACAGCTACAAGGGCCACAGCTCTGCTCACACATGCTGCTGTCACACGCCGCGCTACCGCTATCATTCATTCTCCGCCCATTAGCTAGGCCACTCCCACAGCCACATGTCCTCACACACAGCGCTCTGCGAACACGCTCACACACATCAGAGCTACCGCTACACACAAAACAGTGGGGGAGTAGCTGAAATAGAACAAGCCAATGAAATGACAGTAATAATGGCCATCAGGAGGATTACATATACAATGTCTATATGATGTAAAAAGGAATAGCAGCAAACAGAGGTGGAAGAAGTATTCACATCATTACCTCAAGTAGAAGTAGTAATACTCTAAAAATTCTCCATTGGAGGTAAAAGTCCAGACTTCAAAATGTTACTTAAGTAAAAGTATTATAAGCAAAATGCACCTTAAGCTTCAAAGGTGTGTACTATTATTGCACTGTATAAGCAGTACTGCATAATATTATATAAGCGTGTCAAGTGGTTTCGGTAAAACATTTTAGCAGCGGTGTTAAGTGTCAATAAATAGGGTAGTACCTCAAAATGTAACTAGATTACAGTACTTGACTAAATGTACTTAGTTACTTTCAACTACTAGTAGTTAAAGGTTTACGACAGGGGCCAGGATTGGCCATTAAGAGAAAAAAAGTAATAAAGTTAAGGTGAATAAAGTTAATGTTACTCACATAAAACACCTGCTCCCGCATAGAGGGCGTGTCAGGAGGGCTCTGATTGGACAGCAGCCGCTTGGTGACTGTATTGGTGGAGGACGTCTGGTCGTCCTTATCAAACGGACTTAAAGACAAAGGAAAAAGCAGGACAAAGGGTGAGAAACTGAACAAAACTCACCTGAACAAACATGGTAAAAGCGTTGAACTATAATAATAAAAAGGGCCAATTAGACGTCTAATTACCTCCAGGTGACCTCCAGGTTCAGCTTCACCGTCCCGAGGTCGTTGATGTCCACGGCGAGCGTCTGGGGCAGCGGGCAGAAGAGGTCGAGCATCTCGCAGGACACGCTGCCCACCACCACGTGATTGGCCAGGCTCTTCAGCTCCGTCACCTGGATAAACAAAACAGGAAAACCTCAGCGAGAACTTCCAAGGAATGACGAAGTTAATCCATGGGATTTTTACGTTGAATTTGAGATTATTTCAGAAAAGCTTAACTCTGTGCCAAGCAAATAAACAAAACTTTTTCTATTTTTTTTTAAAAACTCATTTGCATTCGCAAGAGATAAAATGCAAACGTGTAATAAAACAGTCACAGTAGGATGTTGTTGTCTCGTGTAGCCACTTTTTAGCAAAGGCCTTTTTTAATGACACATCAAATCCTCCAAGATTGCTGAGTAAATTCACACTAAAGAAACAAATGCGTATTATGCACAGCTGAACAAAAATCCACACTAAATGCGATAAAGTTACTGCTGTTTGAGTCACATTTGCTAAAAGCAACACATCAGTTTTACGTAAATATTTTGCCTCTTTAAAATAACACTTTGAATTTGTGGCTTTGAATGTTTTCATTGGAATTGTTTACAATGACAAACATTAAGAATAAGTTCGCTAGCCATGCCTTTTTAAATCTGCAATCCTTACCTTGATTGACAGCAGTTCTGTGACGAGAGGCAGGAAGATGTTCTCTTCCCCGTCCCATATCTGCTTGTTGCTGACTTCCATGCGGCCTCGTAGCCTCCAGCGCTGACGCCCATAGCGCATTAGGACCTGACGGAACCAAAAACAGTGAATGTGATTCAGCAAACACAGACTCTGTCACAATTTGTAGCTACATCCTTGTGTTTATGATTCTTACCTCATACTGGTCACCAGAACAGAGCCGTGCGAAGCCAGCGAGGCCTGAAACATGTGAAAGGAATAGAAAAATGAGAACTGTGCGAAGGCAGAGCGGATGCAAATAGGAAGTGGTAGAAAGTGACTCACCCTTCATCTTGACATGAAATTCTCCCATCTGGCTTTCTAATTCACTCTCAAGGGAGCACATGTGCTGCAGGGACAGATGGAGGCATCGGTTTGAATAATTTAACAGAGATTTGAATTTACAGCACACATCAATCACCTGTGATTTATATAGCCCGATGTCAAAGATTACACATTTGTCTTTACAGACTGTACAGCATACAACACCCTCGCAGAGGTAAGGAAAACCCCCCCACAACAACCCACAATCAATGGGAACATTTAAGAAACCCCAGGGAGAGCAACAAAAGGAGGGATCCCAGAACCGACCATGGGCGTAATTTCCACTGGGGACATGTCCCCTCCACTTTTCAAAATCCTGTTTGTGTCCCCCCCACTTTTCAAATGTGTTTTTATTTATTTTCACAACTAAAAGTGGTCATGGAGGAGCGTCTGTGTGTGCGTGGCAGGAGCGCATTTTGTGTGAGAGAGAGAGAGACAGAGAGAGACAGAGAGAGTTACGTGGGTTGTTGTTAGCATCTGGTGCTAGCTCGGAGCTAACGGAGATTAGAAGCTGTTTCAACAATAAGGAGAGGGAGAGTCCTCTCCTGTCGGACTGAGAGGCTGAGGTAACATCAGCTCAGGGAGGTAAAGGACTCGCTGAGTGATTATATTTTAAACTTTAGTCTAAGTTATCTCAGTGGGTCTCAAACGGTTTGGTCTAAACAAATATGTCCATCTATTTAATATAGTTGTTCAAAATAAGTAAAACAATAATTCCAATGTCAGTAAAGAATTAAAAACACAGTTTGAAAGGGGAGTGATTAGTAAAATATGCATAAATAAAAAGAAAGAATGCAGACTAGGTAAGATAAAGATAGGAGAGAGGAGTATATCAATGATGTGTTATTGGTTGTGAGAATATTTTAATGGTTTTTGGAGTATTGAAATATATACAGGTCTGTTTCATATGAGTGTTGAGAGCTGTATCCATAAATCTCTTAATTTGTGCACCAGATTGATGCATTTAACTTCAATTTAAAGAAAAAAATCTTACCGGGGGTGCATGCCCCCGGACCCCTCTATAGGATGTGAGGTCATCCCAAATAAAACAGGTTCATGGATAGATAAGTTTGCACACTCATTATATACACTACACATTTTTCTTGGATTAGTTAACACCATAGTCCCTATATGTGTAGAAAGGCAGGAAATGGAATTAAATCGAGAACAATGTTTCATTGCGGAGGACACCCTGTTTTGTGTCCCCCCCACTTCTCAAACCAAAGTTACACCCTTGGAACCGACTGACATGAAATAAATGTTGTATATACAAAATAAACAACATAATAAATGACAACAAAATTGTGAATGTATATTAAAATGAAGGAACTAGGAGGAGGTCACAAAGCTGCCATTTGCCACCAAAATGAAAGAAACATCCGCTCACCTCGGTGCACTCCCTGTAGCCCTTGTTGGCCTCACTCAGGCTCTCTCTGGCCTCCCGGCTGCCCACGGCCACGTTAAAGGCCGCCACCATCTTACTCGCTCCGTCACGCAGTCGTCGCTGTATACAATAAGCATCGTACAGCTCCTCTACCTGCAGAAGCATATATAATAATATCGTTTCTTTGTATAGAGCTTAACAGAGAACACACAAGACACGATGCAAAAACAAGACATTACATACTACTTTCAATAGGCATGAGGAAACAATGGATGATTGCACTGTTCTTTATTCTCAACGTCAAGAATAGTGGGCCGTGTAACTCAATACTTGAGGATGAAAATAAACTTTAAAATTACAGAACAAATTATAAGAAAGCCTTTTGACAATATTTATTGAAATAGTGGTAGTTTTATTAATTCATTTTTTCATTTAATGAAAAAGATCAGATGTGCAAAACTATATATTTTTTGGAAATAAAAATGGCAGCTTTTAACAGCACACAATATCCCATTATAAATGAAACTTTAGCATTAATTTAAAGTCGTGTTTGTGTCCTACCTCTGACAAATTCAGGTTCCAGTGGGGACCTTTTTTCCTGTGTGTGCCTCTCCACCTCTGTTTCCTACTTCTTACTTGCTACCCTTTTCCCTCAACCTATCCTAAGGGAGTGCATGTATGTAGACACGTTAGTTTAGCTGCTATAGGCTTGGACTGTTGGGGGGGGGCACCTTACTTCGTCTTTCTGTCTGTTTGTACCTGTGTAATCTCATGTTCCGATTAACCCAGCTTCCCCCAAATCTCTTTTCTGTGTCCATATATACGCCGGGATCCTGAGTCGAGGCTAATCCTATTGCTGTGGTCGTGTGTCCTGGATCCTCTATCCTGAGCACTGGATCTGAGTCCTGGACTTCGAGCCGTGGCTGAACCAGTCTCTGCGGTCCTGCCTGACTCTCTCCATACTACTTCCCTGATGGCTCCCACAAGATTGCTGACATCCTCGTGGATTCATCTTCTTATTATAGACACATGCATTTCAAACATTTGGTCTTTCCAAACATTTGGACTACCTATGTTGTAAATGTATTATCTTTTTGATTTACACACGGCATCTATTGCACGTCTGTCCGTCCTGGGAGAGGGATCCCTCCTCTGTTGCTCTCCCTGAGGTTTCTCCCATGTTCCCCTTTAAACTATGGTTTTTCTCTGGAAGTTTTTCCTTGTACGATGTGAGGGTCTAAGGACAGAGGGTGTCATATTGTCATACTTATATTCTGAACAATCTGTGAAGACCACTGAGACAAATGTAACATTTGTGATATTGGGCTATATAAATAAACACTGATTGATTGATTGATTGATTGATTGATTGATTGATTGATTGATAGGACATCTAAAATATGAACTATATAAAAAGGTATATGTATATTATTTGTATGTTATTGTATAACATGTATGTAAGTAAGTAATTAAGTAAATAAAGTAAAGTAAAGTGAGGACATGCTCCTGTCCAGGAGACAGATCAGGAGAACACACAGACCTGAACGGTGNTTGATTACGCCATTACTTCTGCCTCTCTCACTCGCTCTTCCCCTTTCTCTCTTACCCGGGCTTCTAATTACAGGGGCTAAATAGCTGCTTTAGCTTTCATGTTAGGATCAAGTATGCACTGTCTACCAGTTTCACTGAAGCAGGAATTACTTCCAAAGTGCTGGACAAAAGAGAAAGAAAGTGTGGTGTTGCGTGTGTGCTGTTGTATGCGTGTGTGTGCATGTAACGCAGAGGAGATGGAGATGTTCAGCCTCTGGGGGAAGAGGGCAGACGCACATGATTAAGTATTTTTCAGGTTGTGCTGAGGAAAAGAATGTTAATTAAATGCACTTGCAGCAGGGATGTGGCATGGCCAGTGTTGGGGCATATGGGTTGTGGAAAGAGGGGATGGCGGGCCCCCGGGCGATGGAACCCCATGCGACGGGATTGTGTGTTCCACACAGAGCTGGAAGGATTCTGAAAAAAGGCACTGGAAGGGGATCAACAGGCTGGAATAGGGCCTATCTCTACCTTGCTGGCAGAGGGAGGTGGGCCCTTTCTGATTACAGGACCTTCCCTTTATATTTAGGGGGGCTCACCCTTTGGCTATATGGGTCAACATCAATGTGAAACAAACCGGTTCTCATTAGTCAAACCCCATAACACGGTTGGTTCAGACCCCATCCCAACACAATTACATAGTAGAGTCACATCCCATTTTTGGGCTTTTTAATATGTTTTTTTGGATCCCTGTACAATCCTCAGGTTGTCATAATAATTACTGGGCACATGAGGACATTAAAATGCACTTCAGATGAGAAAGCTTCAAGATGTTATAAACTTTTAATATCTCAAATGGTTTTGCATAATGTTTATTGGCGCTGATATTTGCCTGCCAAGTGACTTCTCTAAGTTGCGGTGAATTGATGGCCACAGGGAAAGCTCCCGGTATCCAACCCAACAAACAGCTGTTCAAGTGGACCATAATGAAGTCGCCCTGCAATAAAACCAATGCTGGAGTTCTGTCTCTATAATGAGAAATGACAGGACTTAAAACATACAATAATCCTTTGTGTTGTTAAGCTAGTATCATTTGTAACAGGTATTGTTCATATCATTCTGAATATAGATCAAAGTAAAAACTCAGCAAACAGCTTTCTGATATGACATATTGATTTTATTAGGGTGCCATGGAAACATAACTTAAAGGTGGGGTAAGGGGGCCTATGTATGTATTCAGAACACCTTTTTGTTATTCCATGGGGAATGCTCTTACAATCCCCGATAAGCAATGATATATTAAATGGCTTTGACATAAATACATTAAAAATGTCATCTGTGGAACGTAGTACTGTAAAGGCATGAGCAATCATTTTAACTGGATGGCCTAACCTGCCTGTCAGGCCTTCCATCTGTGCACACAAACTTTATTCGTGCCCTCGAATTGGTCATGTGGCGTTTGTTGTGTGGTTGGAGGAGGGGCTCTGGTAAGGAAGTTGGGCAGATTTTCTTTCCGCGGTCTTGTATTTATCAAATTTCTAGCGTGCCACTCGAGCTGTTTTCTCAAATCTACTTTAACCCCACCTTTAATGTGAGACCGCTATAGTAGGTGGAAAATGTTGTCTGCCACTCACATACAGTATGTGGACAACTGGCCCTAAACCAGCTGATGCCTAAAAACAATATTGTCTATTTTTGATGGGGGTCTATGCTGCAAAAGTGACAACCACTGCTAGGGGGTATAAACTCATGAACTAATTAAAAATTAGTTTTTTTTTTTCTATGAATGTGTTTCTTGGTGATGGTTAAAACGCTGTCTGCTCTGTTCTTTGCCTACTATTTTAGGGTTTAAACTTTTCATCATTGTTTTAAAAGCAAAAAGCACAGTAACGGGCCAAAGCAGATCAAATCGGATGAGGTCATGGGTCCATAGGCTGGAGAGGAGAAACTTTGAATTTACGTGATCATCTTACTGTGTTGTTTACCTTTCTTATTGCAGGGAGATTCATCTCTTCCTTCTGTGTCTGTCCCAGCCATGGAATTCATAATGTACTTGTATAGGGCATGGGGGACAATTGAATGCGGTTTTATCAACCTTATTCTGTAATCTGCAAAAAATAAAAACTAAGAGTATTCCGTTGTGGTAGGTTATAAATGATTTTATAAAGCCTTTCTTTGGGTGTTTCTTGTAGGGACTGTGTATGTGTAATTAGAATGCATGGCAAACGAGGCCATTGCACTTTTGATTTTTTCTTGGTAGTCTGTAACAAGCTATTTTTAGAATTTGTATAACATGTCCTTCTCGTTTCGGTTTATCGCGAGGGATTGGGCTTGGTAAGGAAATTATCTCCCATAATAAAAATATTGAATGAAAGAAAAATCACACCAACATATAGACAGGGTTTTTTGATTGAAGAGTATGTCTACATTTTTCCTATTCAATGAACAAGATTAAACCACTAAAACATTATTATTCTACGTCCTTCCTTAATTTCATTACGTCCTTATCTTTCATTGTGTCTCTCGCTCTCCTCGCAGAGTGGGGCTTGCTTCGGCAGATCTCCTTTCGGTCCTAACAGTCACGTACGAGTGAATGGTAATTGTTCGACCATCAATCTCGAAGAATGACTTGTTGTTCCACAAAAAGGGTAATTCTCAAGAACCAAATGGAATAAAACCTCCTTTTTATCCTTCCTCTCATCTTCTTTTCTATTTTCAATACCATATCTTAGTTCAGAGCAAATTGCTATTTGTAGAATTACATATAATCAAAACGATATATCCATTAATTCCCTATTAGTGTAGTAAAAAACTGTGCTTCTCCAGGTCAACTTATTTAAATAATAACTGTTGATATCACAGGGTTATTTGAGATCGATACCACTTTCCTCCATGTCACTTTAGCCCAAAGATAGTGGTTATCTTTCCATTCATTCTCCTTGTAGTAACAGGTCACCATCTGAACTTAACCACTTCAACCTGTTCAGTCTATCTACGAGCCAACATGCGAAAGGACCAAGCTCATCCTACATAGTCCTGCGTAAATGGGCCCCTTTTATTACTATACATCATATTCGATATCCATAGTGTACTGTCTGTTGAAATGGCCTCCAACTGATTGCAGTGAAAATACTTAGCCTGCAGCACAAAAGCGCTTTCTTATATACACCTCCTTGGTCTTTGTCTGTGTTCTTTTCCATTGACATAAACAATTATGAAATACTAGTTACATTAATAGCAACAAGGCCAAACCAGACTTTTCCTTCCATTTCTTATGAGCATATGAAATATCAATGCGTACGTGTGTGGAGAGACGCGAGTGTCAGAATTTCGGACACCCTCTCATTTGAAATGACATGATCTCCATACCGGAGGTATTCCAGGGTAGGCGTGGCGGTGGTGGGAGGCTGAGAGGTTGGTTAAAGTGTTTCATGTGTGTGCCTCCTGGCATGTTATCACAGGTTGGCAAACACACCAGGTCACTCCTTCTCTTTTTGTCACATCCACCATTGAGATGGTGCTGCCAGACATGGTCCGGTGACCTGCTTGTGATGCATTTATCAGTAGGTCAAACTGGATGCAGTTTTGTCTTGTTTTCAAGCCCATGAATCTTGCATGCGGAGGATATTTTTGATCGCTGTGAACGCTGCATATTCCGGCCGAGGTGGCTGTGGATTGTGCGCTTAGTTTTCACACCCGTGGGGAAGTGTAACAGAGGATGTCTGATTCTCTCTGCTCGTGCTTGATGGAGGAGAAGTTTTGGAGAGGACTACTTAAATAATTAATTGATTTATATAACAGGTTAGTACTTTATTTAGTCATGGAGGGGGACAAGAGTGAAGTGCATAGAAGTTCTAGGTCGTACACACACCCAAATATTTTATGAAAATCCAAAATTGGGGGGGAGAAATTAGTCATGGGTCACATCAGAGGGGAAAGAATCATATTTCATATGTCGATGATGGCCCCTATGTTATGATGATATTTTCTCTTAAGCCCCAGAACACACTGGGACAGGTGACCCATTCACTCTGTTCTTTCACGTATACCGCTTTCAACATCTAGACTGCATGTCTTTACTCGACATCTGGTGTAAAGTCCACCTTCACCCGTCTCCATGGTATTTTGGGAGAATGTACAAACCAAGTACGCTCTGGTGGTACCCGAAATGATTGTTGCTAGCTCTGCAACATGGGCTCTCGCTTATGCTAAAGCTGGTAGCTTGTGTGTGCATCTGAATGATTGTAGGAACTGACGATAAGTGACTGTTTGTCTTTATGAGATGTATTGTTTTGCTGGCTCTGCATGGATTGGAACAGGCCTGCGCAGTATTATGTTGGATCGCGACGACTCTCTCACGGTTGAAGTATTCCACATTTTGTGATGCTGATCTCCTCACAAGGTTGTCAATTCTCCTATATTAACATCCTCGGACTGTAGTGTATGTTTATATCACGCAGCTGCTCAGCTCTGCATGCACTCACAACCATCAACTTCAAATGCTGGGGCTTTATATTTTGTAGGGCTAGGAGAAACCAACAATAAGGGATATGTTGAGATTCTCTTGATTGCGTTCTGATAGAAGGTAGATACCTGACATTATTTATGCAGTCGCGACACTCTTGTACATAATCAAAGTGCGTGTTACTGATATAAAAAAGATCAGTCCATTGGGGGTCTCTCTATTGTGAAGTATTAGCACATCCAAGTACAACAATTCACTGTCTAATGTGCATCTATTCGTCTTCTTCCTCTAACTATATCCATATTTGGTCTGTGGATTAGTTGTGTACTGGTCCACGGACTTCGTGATACACTCTCTGCTCTCTCGCGACAGCCATATAGCTTGATGTTACATGGGAGAATGTGACATGCTCGAGAAATAACAGGATAGCTGGTTCAGGCTCTATAGGTTCATAAAAACTAAGATGCAGGAAATATGAAGCAATAACGACCATACATCGCATGGAAGGAACGGTATGTTAAACATGGGATTAGAATCCCCAATGACGCTTCTCAGGTAGATTTGCTTTGATTTACCTATTTTCCTCGCTGTTCTTAATGGTATTGGACCTAAGAATGGATTCTATCTCGGATGCTATGATCCTGTATCTTTGTTCTTAAGTTCAGAGTATACTCAATTACACCAAGGCGCGTTCGTCATAACATTCCTTGAAGAATTGCTAACCATCCAAACGAACAATATAAGAGATAAGTGGACAAGGGTAATGTCACTGCATGAATTGAACTGGGTATGTCGCTAATACTTCAATAGAATACTGGTCGATTTTTACGTAGGCTTTTTATATGTCCCAATATGCAGGGTTTTTTTTACTGGATACTGTCAACAATCTTTTTTGCCCTGGCCAGAATAAGCCCCTGCATATAGGTGAGGGTGAGCCGCAGAGCACAGGGCTTTTGGATTAAAAAAACCCGCTGTTTAGGAATTGACACCTTTGAGCAGATCAAATGTGTTCCCAAACTGGTGGGTTCATCATAACTGCCCACTGTTCCTCCTGCAGGTCTACAAATAGTCTCTATTAGGAAACCAGTCCACTATCCGTCAAGTTCTATCATGGGAGGACAATGAACATTTGATAGCTATTGCAGAAGCTAAAAGCATCTCCTGGTCCAGGGCTGGTTGTATTTACACCAGGAAGCGGGAGGTGGTGGGCGGTCCGAGTGTGGAGCTGAATCGTACTTATCGGTTACAGGACAGTTTGATGGGGCTCCACTTCCATAGTTTGCTAGAATCTCAAGGCACATCCATAACATAATTCTTTTTTACAGGACTCCAGGAAACTCACCTTTCTCCAAGAATACCTCCCTTTAATTCAATTAATAATGAAGATCCAAAAAGACTTCCCTCACATCAGGCACGGGCAGAGAAACAGACGCTGTATTTTGGTGATGGAACACCAGGCTGCCTTGCGAATACTTGGCGCGGTATGGATCAAAACTTCCTCCGCATTGCAAGATTCATGGGCTTTGGAAAACAAGGACAAACTGCTCCATGTTTGCATGTACACCAGCAGCTGGCCTGCAGCCACGATGCAAGGGAGGTGAGCTTTGGTGTTGTTCACCTGTGAAATTCAGGGGAGAAGTTAATAACCTCTCAGGCTTCCCCCAGAATCGGAACTGTGTCCTGTAATTTAAAGGAATTGATCTGAACTGCGCTCTCACAGTTACTTTTTTTTTACAATGAAGTGTGTCAAGCAGATGGAGGAGTAAATGAAAGGGCTTTTGGGAGGAATTATCCTTCATAGGGCTGTCAACCAGACGTACCCTGGGGTTGAATAGGGATGATTTAAAAAGGCTCTATGCACAGGAGGATTTACTTGGGTTCCTTCCAGTGGCTGGGTGAAAGGTAGCCTAATTTTTCAGGACGGGCATCTATTTATTTAGAAATTGCTGGGGACGTTTAGATGGTCTTTCAACACTTTGAAAAGAGTGAAAAGGGTTTCTGTAAATGGTGCATTCAGTCCCAATGGGGAAGCATACTGATAATTTATTTTAGAAAATGTAGAATTATTTACTTTTGGGATTTTAAATAACCTATCCCGAAAAAGAGGATGTTAATACAATTTTCATTAAAACGTAGGAAAAAAAACGTATAAGTAGGTTGTTGAGTGGGTAAAAGTCGAGAAATTCCCCCTGGGGATAAATGGTGGCCAGAGAAATCTATCCATCACGGCGTTGTCCCCATTTTCCTCAACAAAAAAAAATTCACCTGGAATTATTACTGGCATAGCTGGGCCTAAGGCAAAGTAGAATAAAGTTAGCACTGCTTAGGGTCCTAAAACCTCCGCCAGGAGCAGATTATAACTTGGTGCCTCATTCAGAGTTTTTCTGTATAATTCAGGCACCTGCAAAAGCGCTCTAATTAAAAATGTGATGCATTATTATTAATATTATTAAGGCTGAGAGTCCAAATGGCGGGCAGGTGATGGACAGATAACAGGCAAACAACTAATGAAAACTCCATGCAGCAATGAGGATAAACCAACAAAGTGGAATGGTAAAGTAGTGAGTGAGAGATAAGGGAAGTTGGAACATGTGAGCATAGGAATGAGGAAGTCAGGTGAAAAAATCTGAGGTCATCTGGTGGACAGGTAGGGAACGACAACAACTCGTGTGATAGTTGGGATGTTGCTGAAGAGGAGGGACCAAGGGACATCCATCCAATTTCATCCATTAACTACCTGAATACCTGCCTCATTTGATAATGAGCAGTGATGATTATTTAGAAAGTAATAGCGAAATCCAAAAATAATAAAATGCCTGATTTAATAATTGTCATGTCATTCGTTTTGAGTTAAACATTACAGGTTAAATCAATGATGTACTTCCTAATATAGTGAACCAAGCATACTAAAGGAACATAATAAGCTACATTCTTAATGTCCCTTTATAACCCAGCTTCCCCCAAATCTCTTTTTTGTGTCCATATATACGCCGGGATCCTGAGTCGAGGCTAATCCTGTTGCTGTGGTCGTGTGTCCTGGATCCTCTATCCTGAGCACTGGATCTGAGTCCTGGACTTTGAGCCGTGGCTGAACCAGTCTCTGCGGTCCTGCCTGACTCTCACCATACTACTTCCCTGATGGCTCTCACAAGATTGCTGACATCCTCGTGGATTCATCTTCTTATTATAGACACATGCATTTCCAAACATTTGGTCTTTCCAAACATTTGGTCTTTCCAAACATTTGGTCTTCCTATGTTGTAAATGTATTATCTTTTCAATTTACACACGGCATCTATTGCACGTCTGTCTGTCCTGGGAGAGGGATCCCTCCTCTGTTGCTCTCCCTGAGGTTTCTCCCATTTTCCCCTTTAAACTGTGGGTTTTCTCTGGAAGTTTTTCCTTGTACGATGTGAGGGTCAAAGGACAGAGGGTGTCGTATTGTCATACTGATATTCTGTACACATTGTGAAGACCACTGAGACAAATGTAACATTTGTGATATTGGGCTATATAAATAAACATTGATTGATTGATTTGTGTCCATCTAATGAGTTTAAGTCCAATATTAATTCTCTTTTAGCTCTGATTTCTCCACTAACTCCTGAGGGAAATATCGTGCAGTCCTTTGATCCATTGTTTTAATATAAATGTTGATTAGTGCAGCATCAAGGTAAAAGATTATCTATTTTTCTAATCATGTATTTATGTATACATACCTTGCTGAGGTGGAACTCCAGTCGACGCATAAACCTCTCGATGGCTTTCACTTGCTATAAAAAAAGAAAGGAATGATAATACAGGACGTCTTTCTTTTATCTGTTTACAGTTTCAATGTGAATGAAACTCACCTTGTCCAGCTCATACAAAGACCCCTGCAAAACAAAATAAAGCATTTAGCATCACAAAGTGTCAGATTAACATGCTGACTTCCAGCCTGGCACTGAAAGGAGGTCAGGCTGGAGTGACTGGTTTGACTAGAGGAGCTCTCACCAGACGACCGTTCCTCTTGTTCTCTCGTGACTGCTGACCCAGGCTGTCAAGCTCCAGCTGGTGGACCTGCAGGTAGGACCTAACAACAACACAAACACATTACTGTTTAATCCTCATTTACAAAAGCAGACGTATTCACTCCGCCTGTCAGTCGTGCGTGGACTCAATGCAAACAGAGTCTGCGTTGTGTTTACTCACTGTAAGCCTCGCCGTAAGGCAGCGTAGACCTCGTCCAGCCGCTCGGGCTGCGGGATTTTAGTGGGTGGCTGTTTGGTGGAGCCTGTGAACATCCTGCTTCCTTACAAGGCACGTTTCTCTAGGATCAAACAGGCCTGAGGGAGGGAGAGGAACATGGGCTCGTTTCTGATAAGACCTTCAGGGTTATTTCAAGAAGCACATTCAAAATAGGCAGCAAGAAAACTGGCATGGGAAGAAATGGAAATATCATCCAGGCCAAAATAAATGTGATACACAATGTTATCCTCATAATCCTAAAGATATGATTGAAACTCTTAAAAAGGCACTTAAACATACTTGAATCATACTTATAGGATTTATATTTTAACTTTTTGATAAAAAAAACTAACAATCCTATATAGTCTAATCCTTAATCATAAAGTCCAAACAAATAAAATAGCAACATTACGTGAGTCTATTCTATTTTGAATGCTATTTTTTATTTTAAATCATGCTTTATTTATCACTTTGCTACAATGACGGCAAGGACATAGAGCGAGACAGACAGATTTCTGCTCACCTGCGGAGTGGAGAGCGATTGTCACTATTCTAGCATGCTTGGAGAGTTGAGTGTAGCGCTGTGGCTTCAACAAACCCAAGGACATGTCCTGTAATTACACAAAAAGGAGACATTATGGACAGAAATGTCACACTTTACTTCATACCTCACTGTACCTGACAGTGCTCCGGCTCTGTGATTATATAGGACTCTCATAATTACAGAAGTCACAGAAAGAAAAATTGTGAAAGGGGGGGG